TTCCCCTCCACCGAACTTCCTCAATGCCTCCCCCCACTCCTCCACCTGCTTCCACCTCTCGCCTTTTTCCTTCTCTAACAATTTCTTCTCTTCTTCTAACTTTTTTACCATCTCTTTCCACTTTTTCTTCTGTACATCATCCTCATATCCTCTCCTAACCAACTTCACCCTCAACTCATTCAACATCACCCCTTTAAACTCTCCCTCCTCCCAATCATTCAACTTCTTCGTTGCCTCTTCATACCACCCTTCTGCCTTTCTTTTATCTTCTTCAATTTTTTCAATACTTGCCATTTTGTTAAAAAAAAAAAATAAATTGTTTTAAAAAAATTTTTTTTTATTGATTTAGATTGTAATTGTTACAATTTATGCATGATTTCGACCAATGATAAATTAGTGGGCACATGACTTGGAATTAAAAAAAAATTTTTTTTACGGACAAATGAATTAAACGACAAAAGAAAATTATTTTTATTTTAATTCAATTAATAATACATAAATAATTTATAAAAATATAGTTAAATAATTGCCAGAGCACTTGCATGGGAGGAAAATACCCAGACCCAAGCCATTTGTAAGTATTACCTATTCTTTGGGCACTCTGACAAAAATTCAACTTTTACCATTACTACTGCTACTATAGATGCTGCCCAAATTAAAAATTCAGAATCCCAAATCCCAAATTAATTTGTGCATCCCAAATGTACAAATCCCAAATGTAGATCAAATCCCTGTACTTGCTCTTCTGACCAATAAGCATCCAGGATAATAAAGGGATCATAGATCACACTCACAAATTCTGGGTGCTTATTGGTTGAGCAGGAAAACTGATCTACATTTGGGATTTGGGAATCTTTCAGTAGGCTGTCCCAAATTTAATTTGTGCATTTGGGATGCCACAATCCCAAATAGTTTGGGATTTGGGCAGCATGTATAACTGCTACTATTACTATTATCAATAATATTATTATTACTAATATTTATATCTCCTTCAACTTCATTCTCTATTTCTTTCTTCCTTTCTTTTTCAATCCATTTCTGAATTGCTTCTAACATTTTCCTTCTAGGATTGGTTTTTCATTTTTTATTGTAGAAGCAGCAATTCCCTTTCCCTCTCAAGCAAGTCACAAATTTCAATGGCCATTTCATTAAAGGAAAATCGGGATTCAACCCAATCTTCTTATCAAATAATTGTTTGAAATTTGTCCATAGATTTTCAATTTCATGTGAATATTTTTTATTGTAATAAATTGGTTTATTTTATTCTTAAAATGGCTTTTATATCAATTTTTTGGTTTAGTAGAATGTTAATTTGATAAGTTTTATAGTGGAGCAAGAAACCAAGAAAAAGTCCAATTAACAACCTGCAAAAAAATTCATTATTGAATATAAGCATTTTTTTTAAATTTTATTATAGATGAAAATACTGTGCAAATATTTATTGATTGTTTGATTGTTTTTTAAATTAAGGATTATTTGAAGGATTTGTTATTTGAATTTTTTTACCTGAAAATTAAGTGAATTGGTAATGTTTTTATAATGTTCCAATACAAGGCAGGATTATTTACCTTGTTTCAATGTCAATGAGAGAAAAACAAAGACTTATAAAACATTTGTTCAAAACTCAAAAAATGTTTTTTTATTGATAAGCAATGTAATATGATGATCATTAATTACATTTGCATAAAGGAGAATTTTCTTTGTAGTAATAGTCAGTAAAAAAAATTGTAATAATAAAATTATTTTCCTTCTAAGGGTTTCTGCTTTTTGTTATGTAATAGCTATACATGAAGTCGAAATTAAAACCCCAAAGTCAAAATGTTTCGACTTGAGGCAACTACATAGTAAAAATCAGTTTCGACCTTATTTCGACCCTATTTCGACCAGATTTGCAACTGGTTGAAATAGTTTCGACTTCATGTATAGTAATAGCACACTTTCATTTTGTTTTCTTTTTCGAATATTTATTATTTTTCTTTCTTCTTGGTAAATTTCATAAGTAATCCTTTCTTTTCTTAGATAAGCTTCCAATGTCTGAGTATCATTTATTTTGAAAATGTAAGGAGCAATTTTCTCACCTTGCTCCTTTTTTAGAATACTTCTAATGGTGCTATAATTCTTAGGTTCCATGGTAGATCTGATGTAAATGAGCTTCATATTAACTATTTTTATATAGAGGCAATTCTATATATCACTTAAGATAACAAATGGAAGATTTTAATAATCACATTACTAAATTTTGATCCATGAATCTTTGGTAATACCAATGTTCACTTTGTCTGGTTTTGTTGCAGTATGCCCCATTTATTATATGGGTAAAACTTTTAATTTTTTGATATTTTGATTGTATACTAAAATGGGTAAGAGGAAAAATGATATTTGCTTAAAAGGGTAAAAAAAAATATGATGTTATCCATCCGTAGATGTTATTTCCTTCTAAATGATATATATATCCAAATTTAAATGGTAATGTTGATTGATGATAAATATGTTTATTTATCATGAAGGTCCTATACTCAAAAGTCAATCAGGGTGTATATATCACGTTACAATATCAGATTTAACCTATTTGATACGTGTAATGTGATACACCCGCGCACAAAAGTTTCTTCTGAAATGGGGAAAAAGAAATGATTTTGTGGTGCTACAAGAAGTTTGTGATACAAATCAAAATTGCGTGCTTTTAACAAAATTATGTAATATATATATAATTAATTATTAATATATAAAAAAATGGGAATTTTTTGAAAAGTTGCTTGTAAATTCAACACTCCTTGTTAAAATATAAAAGCCGCACGGCTTGAAATGGGCAACCAAATCTAATCAATTGCAATATGAGCAAGTATTGGGAGATGTTTGATAAATAAATTTTACCCAGTCAGTAATATGTAAGTCATCATCATAATATTTTTTACAAATGACTTTTACTTATTACACATATATATATTATACTATTTTTAAAAAGTTAAATGCGGTTTTTTTTAATATTAATATATATATTTATTTAATAGTGATGCACATGATTCAATAAGTCTGTCATGCAGGGGCGGCGGACACATGTGAAGGACTTATCGAGTAAAACCGACTTCCATATAAATTTTTATTTAATTAATAATAAATGTTTAAAATAACGTATATAATTATTTGTCTAGGTTGTTTTAAAGGACATCTATAATGGTCAATGATTATCACATGACTTTTAAAAGCTTATAACTCCTTATTAAAAAAGAAAAAGAAAAAAGTAAACCTATAGAATTAAAGCTAAAGACCTAAGCTTCATTTCCATCGGTTTATTTTTTCTTTTTATTAGAAAATTTTTGAGTTATAAGGCTTCAAAGTGAGGCCATTTTATATATGTCTATGTTAATGTGTAAATTGTAAAAAATTTTTCATGATACAGAAATCTTTCCAAAAAAGAGATCTAATTACTTAATTAGAAAGATTTTTTAAAATTTTAAATTTCGGACTGCGACATTTATAGACGAATCATAATTTGATGTCCCGGCACTACTGAGTTATTTTACTCGTATCGGAATTTTGAATGCTCTATATATATGTGTAGTTGCTAGTCGACTAACCGTAGTCGCGACTAGAAATTTCCAAGTCAACCAAGTCGTGACTAGGTTTCACTCGTGGCTCAAACCTAGAAAAAAAATTTAATCGGCTAGCCACGACGCGTGACTCTTGCAATGCGAAGGTGATTTAATTGATGTTATTATGCAAAAATTTTCACAATTAATGAAAAACGAAGTTCGGAATTTTAAGTGTATCATCATTTACTGACATGAGAAGAAGAAAATCAGTAACTTTTTCTTGAATTAAATTAAATTATTTCAGATTTATTTAATTGATTGAAACATTCCAATGATTGAGATTTTAGTTATTTGACAAAAGCTGGCACTATTATTACTTTCGCCAATCAGAAATTGTAAGCAAGCCATAATCTGATAAATATATTAATATGTAAAAAATCGGTACCCGATTTATGTCACAATCTCGTAATTTTTTACTTTGTAAAAGCCTCATTTGTGATCTGATCTTGGTGATAAAATTTTACTTTGAAAAAAAAAATATAGGACATGGCTTTGATAGATTAATATTTTATTTTTGTACATTTCCACAAAGTTAATGTTTTTGTAATACGATAAATAAAATAAATAATAAAATAGGCTGTGAGTTTCCCCCATGACGTCAAAAATGATTATCTTGTAGGATAACAAAAAGTGATCAAATTAAATTATGTATTATGATAATGACCAAGATTGTGTCAACCCAAGCGCGAGAATTTATATTCTATTTGTTCCGTTCTCTTAAAATTTTCTTCCTGGTTTTTTTATTTTGGATATCTATTTTGGCACCTTTGGCATTCTGTAATACAAACCATTGAAGTAGTATTTTTTTACTATCCTTTGAATATTTCCAAGTGAATTTAACGTCAGTTGCCGTTCTAGTCCAGAGTTTTCATATCCTTTTGTATGGACAGAATATATTATGTTATTATTACCATTGCTGTTTTACACAGGATGTAAAACCACGTGTAAAACCTCACGTATTTCTGAAGAATCCCTCGCAAATCTGCCGATATAATCATTACTCGGACAAGGTAAACCATTTCCATCAAGGTTTGAATAATAATCATCATCCCAAGTACTTTATATCAACAGATGTCGTTTTTTCATATCTGTTGATGTCAAAAAAATTAATTTAAGTTGATAAATTTTGTTCTTTGTTTAAAGAAAGGTAGATTGTATACTTATCAACGCAAAGTATTTTTCCCTAATATTCTAGCAAAGGTTTAAATTTTCCATTGCGAGCTTATTAGCATAATTCTTTTAACAGATTATACTGAAATATTTATATTTATTATACCTATCTACATAAAAGTTGGTTTTCTCATTCTTTTAATTTTCAACTGATTCCATTCATTTTAATCAATCAGCAGAAGTGATGAAATTAAAAATATTTTAAAATTATTATTCTCATTATTTTGATATAGATAGATGTCTACTAATTGTGGTGCATCTGTAAAGGATGTTAGTCCTCATGAATTTGTAAAAGTATATGTAGACTTTTAAAAAAAATCAGGAAAATTAGAAATACCTAAATGGGTAGATCTAGTAAAAACAGGTTCGTATAAAGAGTTGGCACCCTATGATCCGGATTGGTTTTATATCAGAGCTGGTAAAGAGATTCATTATTAATTAATTTATGTTTGGTTAGATAGGCTCTAATCCTTGAACTTAAAATGAGTGGATTTCAATTGTGAATTATTATTTAGCTTCTGTTGCTCGCCATATTTATTTACGCTCCAGTGTTGGTGTTGGTGCATTGAAAAAGCTTCATGTGGTCGCAAACGTAGAGGTACTCGTTCCTCTCATCAGTCAGATTCATCAGGAGCCGTTGCTCGCAATGTTCTTCAATCTTTGGAGGTAATTAAAATTTTGGAGAAAGATCCTAAAAAAAAGATTTATTTATTTAAGATTAGTGATGAATTTTTTATTAATTTATTATTTTTAAAAAACAATTATTCTTTTTTATTATAAAAAATAGCTGTCGAAGGATTACACGGGATGAATAACGTGATCTTGATCGTATTGCTAAGCTTCTCTTAGAAAAGAAGACGACGACGAAGAAGAAAAAGTAGAAGCTGGAAATGATTAATATAATGATTGATTAATTTTATTTGCCAATCAAATGATCGTAATAATAAAGTTATACTCGAATAATTGCCAGCAAACAATATCAATTGACTTGTCTTAAAAAAAATCTAATCCGAATTTATTATAAATCCAAAATCAAATCATCAACAGGATTTACCCATAAACATTATTATTATAAATAATCAATGTTTAAAATATTACTATTATATCTATTAATTAATTTTACAAAGCCATCTAATAATAATTGTTTTACTCCTTAAACTTCACCAACATAAGAACTATTGACTTTTGAAATTTTACCGTTGATCTCTGATGATGTACTGCTTTACCATCAAGTAATGAAGAAATAAAAGATCTTATAAAAAAAAAATAATTATAAATAGTTGTCATGATCGTTTAATTCGAATTGGTGAGAATTTGAAAAGCCAAAAATTATTTGATACGATTAATTAAATACCTTTTTACAATCACTTTAACATATAAAAAAATTTTTTTTTTAGTCAACGTACGCAAGCAATTTACAATAATTTGATGGTCGTCAATTAATATTTCATATTTACCAATTGTATTTGGTATTCTCTTGCTTACTGTCTCTTCCTTGCACCAAGAAAGATTCCGCGAATCTTACATGATAATTATAAAATACGGCTCACTTATTTACTTATGACTGGTTTATTTCAGTCCTTTGCATTTATTGGCTGACACATTGATTTGTTTACAAATTTCTTGGTAGCTTGTTTAACAGCTATACTTTTTACAATAATGATGATACCGGTATGAACCTAATGTTGAATATTTAGATATGAAAGAAAGAAAGTGTATTTGTTAGTTTCCTCAGATTACGAAAAAAATATAACTATAGCAACATATATGTATATTCCTCAATATCTGGAATTGATCAAGAGCACTGGGGTTGATGACATGAGAAAAGATACTTTTCTCGGAGTAGAATCATAAAATCCAACGATTGGTGATGTGAGAAAAGTGAATGCGAAATTAATGGTGTCATCAATATTCAAAAAGATTGCAAATTTTCTCGCAAATCCATTATTAGCTATAACATCTCAGGTTCCCGAAAGGAGGTAAATACCATTTACAGAAGATCCGATCGTAAAAAGAATAGATAATAAGCAAAAGGAAGCGAAAGCACAAAGAAAAAGAAGTCGTTGTTTTTTGCTTGTTAGACTATTGAATAAATAAAAAAAAAACTATATCAGAGAATGCCAACTGAAGATTGAACTCAACAAAACCGGCTCGTAAAATCAAGCCTTTTCATTTTTGTGCCGACGCAAATACGTTTGGATTGCGATCCTAAATAGATGATCACCATCAACGTTCTGATGAGATGAATTTGGTAATTACTAACTAATTATTTACATTGAGCTCCAATGTGAAGGAAGGGTCTTATTTTATCGTGCATTGTGAGTTTATCATTAACTTCATTATATAGTGCATATCCCTGCCGCAGAAATTTTACCGGCCTTGAAAGCCAAGGCTTTTTTTACAAAGTTATGATTTTATTTTGTTGGTACTTAATATGCACTATTGTACTTTGGCTACGTGATCTGTTACAGAAAAAGTTAAAATTGCTGTCTAGGCACCAAATTAAGCACGAATTAACTTTTATAAAATTTTAATTCAAAGAAAAAAATTGACATTTCAACAGTTATTATCACCAGATAGAAAAGGATTTGTACAAGAACTTTTAATGAAATTTATGTTCATGAGAACTATTTAAATGAAACTGGCAGAGAAACTGAAAAAAAATTATTTATCATTGGTAAATGAAAATAAAGAAATGAAAAAGATTGTAAAGAACCGGGTTTTCCGATAAATCTGGTTGAAATGATAGTAATAGTAATGGTAATGGTAATAGAAATAGCAAAATTATTATTTGTTTTGCAACTATTTGGAAATCGGTTTTTTCGAGGTGATCTATTTTAAAACGATTTCGTCAACTGTCGAACGATTTGGCTATATCTTACGGGTCTGATTCATTTTGTCGACAGTTCATATGATTTTAGGGTAACATATTGGGAGGTGTCATACAAGTAGATCAACAAATCTAATTAATATCATTAATATGTACGGTTTTTTTATGGATGTTACACGGAATACTGTAAGGGAAAATTTACCAATTTAAAAAAAAGAAATAAAAACAAAAAAAAACAGAATTATGTTCAGAAGATACTCTTCTGTAATACTAATATACATTTTGAAATGTTATTGCATGGCGAATTTCTAAGGAAACAATAATAAAAATAAAAATTCCAAAAGACCCGTTACAATATAACAAATGTTGATTGTGATTTTTTCATCACTGGTATTTGTTACCTTCAAAGACCTCTCTGTACCAATAAACTAGATATATTATAGATTCCATACTCAAAGTTGGAAATAATATCTCTCTAAAATATAATAGTTGGCGATGTTTTGTACAAGTAAATACTTTTAATTGGATGCTTCATTATTTAGATAAATTCAGATTAACAAGTAAACCCAAAAGTACTACTCTTGCATAAGCTATTGTTGGATACATTTGTGTAGAAAGTTCAATTGTAGTGACATCAAACTGTGATAACAATCCAGTCAAATTCTAAAAATCAAGATTTAAAATTAATAAATAGGTTATAAATTTGGTAAAATCATTATAACCTTTTATGTAGTTCATGCCAAAGGTGTTTAAGTCATGAATCAATTGTAACAATATTCTCTAATGTTGCACTATTACCCAAAAAATTTGGAATAAATGAATCCATAACAGGATCAGGGGATTCCATAATTTCTTGAACTTTATTCCTCACAGTAGCTGGCTTGTTATGTTTCCTTTGATCTGGCAAGAGTGCTAATATTTGTTCTGTGTTGAACCCGAGATCTCAAAGATGGGCTCTTGCATTTTTACGAACATGCCAGTCATGAATTTTATTGCAGAATTCATTAGCATAGGCATTCAGTTGAGATGGATCCATCTGATGAGTTAATTCATATTTTTTTTACAATTTCATTCATGTTGGCAAACATTTTGATAGTATGTAGAAGTAATAGAAGTAACTATACTATGGCTATGTATGAAATATATTCTTTCAGGTTTGAAATTAATTACTTGTTCCTTTGATAATAGGTCTTAGATATATGAAAAATTGTATTTTTGAATGTTTATCAATTATTACATATAAAAAAGTGTTTAACACATCATAATATCAAAATTACCTTACATGAAACATCATCTTACCAATACATTAAAAGTGATGATATTAGTATTAGATAAAATAGCTTCAAGATCCTCTCTGATTTGTCTTTCAATTCTAATTTTTCCTGTTTTACTTTTCCAACTAGGGCTTGAACTAATTGGTTTGGAAAAATTGCTCTGACAACACTTGTGTTTGGCTTCTCTTTTCTCCAAGAAAATTTAATATGGAACATATGTTTATCACTCAATAGAAATAACATAGATCCCCCACATTGACAATATAATTATTTCAAGATGATAAAGTCAGTATTCACTTGAGTTGAGCTAATTTCTCTAGTTTTAATGAGATATACACTAATTTTGTTTCATCCATTCTGATTTATTTGTTTTGGTCAAACTGAAGACATTTTTTCCATATGATGACTTTGTGTAATAGGCAAAATTTGTGCTGGTCTATTGTTTAATTAAACCAGTATGTCTTAATGTAAGGTACAGATTTGCCTTAGAAAATATATAAATATAAATTAAAAATAAAATCATATCCTTCCATTTTAAAACACAGCTGTGTTGTTGATTCTAGTGTTATCATTATATTCTATTCTTCATATAGAGTCATTCTACTGTTGTTATTCTTTCAATATCACTACCATCACTGTCTCCATTACACTTTTATGATGATCTGAAGTGGTAGATTTATGAAAAATTACTTTCTAAAAGATTTAAGATTTTAAAGTATTGGACGTTTTTTGTTATATTTATTTAACTAGAAGGACGACAATGATCGCAACCACATTATTTTTAAATTTCCCTCTTCTGACAATATTTACTCATTTGCTCTTTTTCCGATGTATGTTTGGTTTTCTTTAACACTTGACAAATTGGTTTAAAAAAAATTATTTGTAGATCAAAAAAATTTTTTTTATAAAAAATAATACTTCCAATAATTACTAAATTGTCATTTCCATATAGAAATGTGTATTTATTGATTTACATATCTTCATTCATTCATTCGTTTATATACAAGGATTATAATTTATGGAAGATATTAATAAATAATATATCGATTTACAATTCATTAGAAATAATCTTTGGACAACATCAATAAATTTGCAAAATAATCAGTGAAAATAACAATAACAATGAAAATAATGAAAACAACCAGATCCAATGCTTTATGGTAAATATGTTAATGGATAATAAATTATTATTATTATTATTATTGGATTTTTTTCTCTTACACTTTATCAAAAAAAAAAAAAAATATTAGAACCTGAAAAACTTCCACCTACAGAAAATATAGCTGTTTGTCAATTGCACTTACACACCTATGTAGTAGGTCCAATGGATTTTTTTATAGATTTTGCAAGACGTGCAGCTCATGCATTAAAAATGCCATGCTCAGGTCCTGTCTATCTACCCACTCAAACAACTCATTGGACTGTACTGCGTGGTTCTTTTATCCATAAAAAATCAAGAAAACTTTGAACATAAAACCCATAAAAGATTGTTAGAAATAAAGGATGCAAATAAAGATGCTATGGTATTTAGCCAATAATTGTCCTCCTAGTATTGGTATGAGAGTTACACTTTGGGAATGGGAAGAATTAGATTTCTCAAAAAAGAAAAATAAATTTCAAGAAAAAATTGATGATTGAAATCATTTGTTATTAAAATTAATTATTAAATAAATAATTTTTAAAATAAATAAAATTGAAAGAAAATTAATATTAGGGGTGTGTATTATTATTATTTAACCCTTTTATCAAACATAACTTTATTTCTTTTCATTCCCCATTTATATTGACATGTAAAACTTGCTTTTTCAAACTATAATAAATACTTATTGTGTATAAATTTGATTTATTTATTATTGCTTCCTATGTTGTAAAATAAACATTATCATTTGTATGAGAACTTTATCTTCCTCTCAGACCAGGCTTGCTGGTTACCATATGGACATTGATCACTGATAGCTGGTGCTTGCATTATGATTGCTTTGCATTATCCTGACCTGTAGAAAAAGTTTGTGCCTGCAACTGGTTCAAAATTCTCCAACCCAGGAGGTTGTAACCTGGGAAGTTGTTGTTTTGGATTTTCCCTGAATTCAGAGTTGAGTCCTGGGTTGCTGTCTTGTTGGTGCATGCCTACTCACCAACAACCCTGCCCCATTTATTTAAATAACAAGTTCAGTTGGTCAAATAAAAATTAAAGAGAAACAGAAAATTTATGAAAATGATTAATTTATAACATACCAAACAAAATCTGACTATTTTATTTTACAGTTTTCTCCTTGATGCCAGCGATCATGGTGACTATCACAACAGGAGTGGGCAGGATTGAACTGCCACCTTTATACTTGTAAGATACATGTTCTCATTGAGCTACATTCCTCTAACCTAGGTGGGTTATATAGGCAAAAGCCCCATTTAAAAAATATCAAATTCAGTTGGTAAATAAAAATAAAAATATGGAAATGATTAATTTATAACATACCAAACAAAATCCAAATCATTTTATTTTACAGCTTTCCTAACATCAGAGCCCAAATGCAATTTCAGGGCCACCAATCCCACTCTGAATTGCAACCTCCTGTGTTTGAAACGAGTTGCAGATTCTCATTTCTTTGATGGATCTGGATGTTTATGTGCACCTAATATCACAACTTTTCAAAGTTTCTCAATCACAGAGCCAGCCTTACCCTAGAGGTAGGATCGTTGCAGGCAACTTTTCGGCTAGCATGCCAGCAAGCCTTCTCTGGTCTGGGTGCTGTGAGGGAAGATTAGTGAAAAGTGTCCTTGCAGTCAACTCCAGGGCTATGTGCTTCCCCCCTGGAATTCAGTTGCACCATTGTATCCATAGGGCGAAGCTGGTCAGATTAGCCTTGTGTGCACAAGGAGCATAAGAATGACTGTAAGTGTTCAAGTAGCATGTGTGCTTCAACGTCTGTCAATTTCCGATAATCATACTCGAATTGTTTCAGTTGTGCTGCTTTGACATCTTGTAATTATATATTTATATTAATAATAATACGATTATACAAAGCAAAATACCAATTGTTCATTCATCATCTTGATGAGAATCTTATTACCCAGCAATGATCTGTTCCACGTTTTGATTCCAATTATAATATTTATAACAACCAAAAAAGTCAATGTAAATTAAAAAAAAGTACCTCTGGTTGGTAATTAACATATCTTTAGGAGAGCCGCGTTTTGTCATCTTGTCAAAATAATCAAGAAAAAATATTAATGTGCACGTGTTTGTCGATCAAGTAAATTTACCATTTCTTGTGTAATCGATTCAATTTAAAAAATTAAAATCTTAAATTTTTTTTTTGATAATAATAAGTCTCAAAGATGGTAAATAATAGTAATGGAGTAATGATTTAATATTATATAATTATTAACGAAAATAATATTTCCAATTTGTTTTTTCTAGCCAAAACAAATTGCTGATATTAAATATTTTCTTGAGATTGCACGTAGAAAAGATGCAAAATGTAATTATATATTTATCGATAGTTTTTTTTTTTTATTTCTATTAATTAACACATGCTATATATACACACACATATATATCAAAGCTGTTCGTATTAAGAAAAATGGTGTATCAAAGGTAAAATTTAAGCTTAGATGTTCAAGATATTTGTACACTTTTGTAATTGAAGATGTAGAGAAAGCAGAAAAATTACAAAAATCTCTTCCACCTGGTAAAAATTTTATTCGCATATTTTCTATTTAGAAATAAATTATTGAAGTTTTTTTTATTAATTATTTTAATTATTATTATTTTCTTTTGATATACTCTATATAAAATCAAATAGGATTGGTGGTCAGCGATATTAATACAAGCAAGAAAAAGAAAAGAGAATAACTTTATTTTAATCAATCTCAACATCATTAGCAGAATAAAAATAATACTAATTTAAAAGAATGGAGAAATCATTTCTTGTGATTTTAATATACCATCCTTTTATTAATAACTATTTACAAAAAGCATTCTTAAATGTTTATTTAAATTTATTTTATATGATTTACAAATATTGATCATGGTTTTACAATAATAGATTCCAATTACCATTTTTAAAATTTATAAATTAAGTTCTTGCACTGATCTCTGATAAGAAACAGAAACAAAATTTAAGTTCATCACTAAATTAAGTGCTCCAACATATCAAATTGTGTTAATACAAAAAAAGATTTTGCTGCTTCACAAAAACAATAAGTGATAATCCCTATTACTATCTACAAAAAATGGTTTTTAATAGAACTCATTTTTATTAATAGTGTCATTCAATATAAACGTTACACGAATAAAATTATTATCGTCCATTTCAAAAAAAAAATTCTCCGTTTTTCATATAGCAGCGATTTTCAACCATAATAAATTTTTTAGAGCCATACTGGGGCTTTTAACAACAGTTAAAAGAAAGGACTAGCTTAATTATTGGTTATTATACGCCAGGTCGAAAGCGTTTCTTTTCTTCACACTTATTTTAAGATTATCGCTCAACTAGTATGCAGACTAAAGCAAATTCAGCAGCAACAGTTGTGCCAAAGTGTTCCCTACAAAGTCGCTTATAACTACTTGG